TCCTGCTGGGGAAGTGATGGATCCTCCCTTGATGATTTTAGAGGAGCTGTGGAGCAGACGGCTGAGATTTGACTGCAGGACCAGTCTTTCACTGAATGGGATGGGGCGGGTAGCAAAGTAACCGTTGAATATTTCTCATTCCCAGGTTTTAAATTTTAGGAAACGACAACTGATGTCAGGAACAAGGTATGGACATGACCAGATCCTGAAGTATTGCTTAAAGAACCACTGTAATGATCAATTTGACTTGGGAAATTGCAGGTTGGGGGACTCGCTTCTGAGAACGTGAGATGGGCTGAAGCCGTGAAGAACTTCAAACAGCAACAGAGCACCTTGTGTGGAGATGTCTTGCTGATTACGGCCTTCGTCTCCTACCTGGGCTACTTCACCAAGAAATACCGTCAAGACCTCCTGGATGGAATCTGGAAGCCGTATTTGCACCAGCTAAAAGTAAGCCCTGATTTCTCTGAAAGGCCGTTGTTACTGGAATTAACATGGCCATAAATTCTGATGTCCACAGGGGATCCCCCAAGTGAGGGGATCCCCCAAATGAGGGGCATCCCTGTGTCCCCACTGAGTTGGATTGAGGAGCAGGACGTAGCCACACTTGATTTACTCCTCCCTGGGGAAGACGTTGTGGTGTCCTTGCTCCATGCAAGTGACCGGATTCCTCCATGTACAGAGCAAAATCCCCGACGCAGCAATCCAAACATGGAGCCCAGTATCAATGCTGTGCAGTTTTAACCAGGCATCGGGGGTGACCTAGAAAGAGGGAGGTAGTATGGAGAAGGAATTGCTTGGAGCAGGCAGAGCTCACTGCCAGCTTTCTAGTAGGCTTGGAAAAACTCCAGACGGTTCATGCTGGACACAAGCTCTGTTCATGCTAGCCATGCCTCTTGGCTGGTTTTACACATGTCTTGCTGTTTGGACCACACGGAGACCGTCAGGCTTCAAACTTGTTTAATATTTCACTAATTTTTAACAGGTTCTCTCATACATCAGTAAATGCAAGTGCTCGGTTTCCTGCAGGGTTGAGCTTTTGCACATCAGTGCAGTAATTGGATGTTATAAATCCTGGTGAAATGCCAAGAAGCTTTTAAATAAGGTTGCAACGGGTCAGTGATGCCCAAATCAAAAAGCTGAGAAAATCAGAAAGTTCCTTAGGATGAGAGAGGAAAAATTTCATTCTGCATTTCTCAATACTAAGCCAAAAATTTAGTTAAGAAAGGCAATATTGTGCCAAAAATGACCTGACTCTGTGCCTTAGAAATTTCAAGGAAGTGCCTGTATTTCTAATGGAAAATTAAAGGCCCATTCTGCTCAGATAACTGGCACAGATAACTTTCTGGCTGTCACACCCAGAAATGGCCTCCCATGTCAGAGAATTGTTTCTGGAACTGCTAATGCTGTTTTGCAACACAACAGCAGGCTTACGAGGGTGTTAATTATATTCTTCCAAGCTGTCATCTCAGAGAGCTTGTACATGGCAGAGTGTGATCTGAGCCTGCTTGGCTGGCCTGAGGCCCTTCGTGGTGCTTAGTGCTCTGCAGGCAAAAATCTTCTGGTTGCTTGCATAATTTACGTTCGTTCACAACAGGATTGGGAAACACTTAATACTAGATCAAAACTATCCTGTAGAATAGGAAGCCACTGATAAATATGACTTATCAGTTTTTAATTAAGCTAACTTTTCTTGAAATATTTTCCTTCCTCATCTCTGGAATATGTTACAAGTCACACTCGCTGCTTTTTGCTGACACACTAGGAAGCATTTCTCTTTTCCTCCCAGGTGCCAATCCCTGTAACTCCGTCCCTCGATCCTCTGACCATGCTGACAGATGATGCTGATGTAGCGGCTTGGCAGAACGAGGGCCTGCCAGCTGATCGGATGTCCACTGAAAATGCCACCATCCTCACCAACTGTGAGCGCTGGCCCCTTATGGTGGATCCCCAGCTGCAGGGTATCAAATGGATCAAAACAAAGTATGGTGAAGACCTCCGAGTGATCCGAATTGGGCAGAAGGGGTAAACATCAGCCTTATCACATAATAATACATTTTAATGTTATCTGTCTGTTGTATTTGATGAACAGCTTATATTTAACTGCAACCATCTGAGCCAATTACATTGTGGAAAGCCCTCAATATATTTGCGCATTAGCTGCTTATTCATTACCAAAATGATAGAGATTTCTCATCAAATAGAGGGTCTGTTTAATGCTTGGCTCAGTTACCATAGAAACTCCTCTGAAACTGAAAAAGAAGAGAGCTATGTGCTGGAGGCTGAGCTATGTGTAGGACTATGGCATCCTCCATCGGGCTCATCTTATGTGTTGTGTCCTGACTCAGTTTCACCCAGGAGGATGAGTAGGGCTTCCTACATCTTGGAAGAAGAGAAAGGGCTTGGGCATGGAGAGTGAAGCTGCCATGAGGGTCACCATGCCCTGAAGACCAGCTGGGCTAACTCTGTTCCCACGCTGGCACCAGATAGGAGGTTCTCATTGCAGCACCCCTGCATTGATCTGGCTAAATCTTTTATGGGAAGACTTTTCTGCTGCTGGCTCTTATCTCCGGTCTGTGCACAGACCGGTCTTCTGCTATCCCAGTTTGCACCTATTTCTACCCACTAGTGAGGAGTCTCAGCTGGAATGGAGCAGACCCAGAGTCAAATCCCTGCTTGGGTATGAGCTCTGAGATTTTTTTTTTTTTAATCCAGAGCAAAGCATTGGCAACAGGGCGGGAGTGACCCAAGCTTGGTTCTTGCAAATTCATGTAGCTTTGGAGATGTCTTGGGGTGGCCCAGGTTGTTTTGCTGGTGCCTCCTCTGCTTTCCTTATAGAAAATAACAAGAAGTTATTAGATTTGATCTTGTGTGGGGTGAAAATACAGCTCATTTTTCATTAGAGCAAATTTCTGTTTCCTGGCCAACCTGGTCACCATGCCTTGCAGTCTGTGGAAAAGTAAGGATTCCAGAGGAGGCACCTAAATACAAACCTCCAGGATGGAACAAGAGGAATAGACCCTGTAACATTCATATGCTGCCATTACAGCTTGCTGTGCAAACACAGCATGTCTTTTTCCCTTCCCTCCCTGGCCACACACCAGGCTGGCAGGTACTCTAAGAGGGGAGTTTAGTGTGTTGCTGGGGTGTCTCAGGGCCATTGGCTAAAAGCATCATGCACTGCCCCATTACAGTAAGTAAGGGAGTGTTTTGTCATCTGGGAAATGGTGCTTCTTTGCTTTGAACTGCTTTAAGAGGTTTAAACCCACACCCCTCTCTCCTTCAGAACAGGGCCATTTGAGCAGCTTTGGGGTCAGCTGCTGTCATTCCGACTGTTTCTTTGTATAAAATATTCCTGGACTCAGAAAAATAGGGGCTGCTGATCAAGGATGGGGTTTGCATTGTGTCAACATATTCCTTTAAAGGTTGTCCCTAAAGTTCACTCTGAACTTCTTGTCTTAGATTTTTCTATCACCTCTTGAGGTTCCAAACTCTCTAGCTTACATGAGGAACCTAAATTTTAGCTGGTGGAGTTAGTTGGAGTGGTTCAGTGCAACAGTGATGGTGTAACAGAGCCCGGAGCATCCTCACCGCCTGCCCAGGGCCCTTCTCTCCTCTTTGCAGAGAATTAAGTTGTGTGAAGTGCAGAGCAGCCCTGAAGGAGAGAGCACAAGCGCTTGACCCTGCCCTTCCCGATATAAAGCATTCCAATGCAGAGCATCCCCGTTTCACAGTTAGGCACTGGGCAAAGGGATCCGATTCCCTCTAGGAAAGAAGCTGTCCTAAACGTGACCCTAAACCCTGGGCAAAATGGAACTGAAACCTGCTCTTAGTCCTTGCTTTTATGCAAGATTAACTGCACCAGTGGGTTCTGGGGGAAACAAAATATTTGCTAAAAATAACTCCAAGCTGTCCCATCTTTGTTCACTAATGCCCATGCTCTTCTCTCGGGAAAGAAGACACAGTTGTTATTGCTTGCCCTTGGGAGGCCTGAGACCTGATTTTCTTTGTTGGATAGCCAAGACTTTGCCAGTGCCACTTTCTGCACCATCTTACCCCTCTTTCTCTCTCACAACTGCTGGCCTGTGTACAGAGCTGCCATCTCCGTGTGGAGCACCCCTCTGTGCCCCTCACATCCTCCTTGATAGAAAGCATCACATCCAGCCTTGCTGCGGCGGGTACTAATGCTGTTTCCCACAGGTATTTGGACACGATGGAACGTGCCCTGGCTGCAGGAGAACTGGTTTTGATTGAAAACCTGGAGGAATCCATGGATCCAGTTTTGGGGCCATTACTGGGACGAGAAACAATCAAGAAAGGAAGGTGAGCTTCGGGGAGGTTTAATGGCACGTGTGAAGGGGTTCTTGTGCTGTTGTCCTTTCTGTTCCTGGCCTCAAATTGTGGGTGTTCATATACAGCAACACTAACATCCTGCCTTCAGAAGTGAGGGCATTTTAAATCAGGCAATCACAGGTAATTCAGTCATAGGATGGCTTTGAAATAAACCTAGATTTTTCATTTTGTTGGAGAGTGTCATTCAAACCTCATGTAAAAGAGACACCTGTAATTCTCCTTTTGTATAGTGACCTTGGTGTCTGTAATTGGCTATCCTGACACTGAATTATTACCAAAATAGCTATTGCTGTTGACAAGAAAAAGTAACCTTGAATTTTAGCAAACACTGCGCACTGCTTAGGAATACAGGTACAGGTTTAAGCATTAAGAATATATAAGTGTTTCTTAATGAAGTCAAGTTCTTCATGGCAGCTGCTGGTCACTCGCCAGCTGAGAGGAGGTCAGCAAGAGGGTCAGCAAGGGAGTTCACTTTTTCCTTCTTTCTGTATGTAAAGTAAAATAAGCACATTTTTAGTGCTCAAATAATGGCAACAAATAAAACCGTGTACTCAGCTCTGAACTTTTGATGTTGTTTCGCTGGCTTTCACAGAGTGGAGTTGTCTGCCTTTAGAACGATGCACGTCGTTCGGGCTTTTAAAAGTCCCTGTCCCCGACAGCTTTGCAACTCGCAGGAGCCCGGCATGAGCTGACCTCTGCGCCTGCTGCAGTGCCTTGCAGTGCAGTCCTGCTCTTGGTTTTGTGCAGTAAATAACAAAAAGCCTGTTAAGCTCTGCCTTTCACATTCCTTCAGTTCTTTGAGGATCATTTCCTTACTTGCCTAAAATATCCTAGGATGATGTAAACTGCTGGGAAAGGCAAGGTGTCTGGAAAGTTTGCAGGGAAAGACATAATGAGAAGGGTAGTTGTTTGTGGGTTCAACTGCAGGATGGAGGGGAAGGATCATTTCAGAGGGAATGACGGTCCCAGGGAAGGGGATTGAAATGTTTGAAAATGGAAATGGGGGTACAGCAGAGGTGGTGGGACTCCTGAGCCCCCCTGCAGTGAAAAACTCGGTCATCCCCTTTTGGGACTGTATGTCTCTGCTCTCAAAACTCCCTGTGAGCTCACGTGTTTCCTAAGAAAGGGAAAACAGGTCATAAATCAACCAAAAAGTTCGTGGGTTTCATGTTTTCCAGGACATGAGCCCAGACCCCACAGGTAGATGCTGGTAGTCCCAGAACAAGAAGATTTTTTGAAGTTGGGGCTCTCGGCAGTATTTTTGGGTGCTGCTGTGAGTACTGTGTGATTTCTCTCTAGCTCAGCTTCACAGCTGTGAAAGCAATTGAGGTGGCCAAGAGGACACCTAGTGAGCTGACGTTTGACTGGAAAGTGTATTCAAATTCCCATGGTAACACCACTGTTCCCTTAAGAGTCCAACTGCATCCCTGAAAACATTTCCAGTTTCTCTTTTCCTCTGGTTCCCGTGGGCTTTGTTAAACTTGGGTTCAGAGTATGTTGATTCCTGGGGTCTCTGTAAGTTTTAGACTTGATGCCAGAAATACAGAACAGGAGAAGTTTGGGTTTTCCTGAGTGATGTTACCTCCCAGGAATGGCAAACAGCCGCTCTCCTAATCTGGCTTCACTGCTAAAGCTCAGTGCGACCACAGAGTCGGATCTCAGCCAACAGACTAGGCAATTTTCGCTGTCGTTGATTAAAATATCAATGCTGAGAAGCTTTTCCAACTATGTAATTCCAACTTTAGGTAGAATACAGCCTCTGTAAAAAGCAAGGAGGGTTCATGCTTGAACTGGCCATCCTGCTCCTGGAAACTGTGAGCCTTCTCAAATAGTATCCAAAATTCAGGGGCAACTGTCTGGGGTTTTTATCCTAAATCAGAAGTGATTCAGGTGTGTCCAATTTTAAATATTTTTTGCTTTAATAGTGATTTCTGTGTGAAGAGTGCAAAGTCTCATGCTGGTACATGCCATTGACTGATACCACCATTTGTCTTTGGGTGAAGTGTCCTGGAAAAGGCGTGTGCTCATGCTCCTTTTGTTCTAATTTCAGGTACATTAAGATCGGGGACAAGGAGTGTGACTTCAACCCTGCTTTCCGTCTCATCCTCCACACAAAGCTGGCAAACCCCCACTTCCAACCCGAGCTGCAGGCACAGTGCACCCTCATCAACTTCACCGTCACACGAGACGGCTTGGAGGACCAGCTGCTCGCGGCAGTGGTCAACATGGAGAGGCCTGACTTGGAAGAGCTTAAGGTCAGTAGCTGGGAGTTTACACTGGGAGCAAGTGTAAATAATAATAATAACAACATTAAAAGTAATAATAAATAGTAATTATTATTGTAATTTGAAACAAATAGCATTTCATGTGCAAGGTTGCAGAGATTGCTGAGCTCATCGTAAAATCAGGAGATTTCTCTTGAATGAGATATTGAGGAATTTTTTCTTCAGTCTTTTGTTTTGTTGGTATTTTGGGAACACTTAAACTACAATTTCAAGTTTTTTTCTCCAAAAATTTGGGTAAGAATCTCTTTCTTTTCCTACCTTAAACTACAATTTCAAGTTTTTTTCTCCAAAAATTTGGGTAAGAATCTCTTTCTTTTCCTACTCCTCTTGGAAATGGAAACAGATTATCATTATGTCAGGTTTTTCTGGACTTCACCGATTTAATTTTGGAGGTAGGATTAATCTCACTTAATTTTAAGCATTTATGGTATAGGATTTCCACTGTAAATATTGTGAGGCTGGTAATAAAATTTTTCTGTTCTGGTTCTTCCTCCCACTTTTTTGTAACAGACCAAAATGTTCTCTCTCTTTTTTACTAAGTATGGCTTCAGTTTCAAGATAATTTTTTAAAGAAAATCCTTTGTTCTAATGACACATTTAACAATGTAACGAATATGTATAATACAAAATATTTACTGAGAGTGGGAATAAATTTACTGCACATGTTCAGTCAGGCCAGGCCAGTTTTGTAATAATCTTTTCATTTAATGAGGTTCTAAAGTACGTTAGCTGTGCAGCCTTAATGATGCATTTAGTTTTAACCAGGCTCATGGGCTAACGAGCCAAAAGATGGCATCAAAAATACATAATGAACTGATTTAATGTGTAAGCCATGGCTTACAAATCTCGCTGGGACTGTGAGACACCCAAAGCCTCTTGATCAGGCACCCCTCGGACACGCTCAGCACTGGGTTGCAAATGCTACAAACAGCCATTTTCCTTTGCTGATTTGCACTGAAGGGGGCTGGGGGTGGGGGTGACCACGATTAGCACGGTGGTGTCATTAACTGCTGTTATGTTAAGGACCGTTCCTCTAAGCCTTGGCAGCATCGCTGTTAATGGGTGCTGTCACAATAAGAAAGACAAATTCAGTATCGTGTGCAGTCAACAAAACCACAATTAGGCTCTGCAAATTAGTAACTCAAAATCGGCAGCACTTCCCTCCCATGCTGTAAAATAACTGTGTATTAGAAAACAGTGAAAATGATGTGAATCAAGGATCACATCTCTTGAAGTCCCTGCTTCTTCAGGGTGTACGTGTTGTGGAAGAAGGAGGTTGGGCACAGGACCAGGCAAATGCATCCCTGGGTGCCAGCTATGGCTGTGGGGCTGTGGTCTTGCTTCAGAAACCACTAAGCAGATACAGATTGGTGTGGGATGTAATTTTCTTTTCCTTTAAGAATATTTAAGACCTTTTTCACTGTATCACCACAGCAAGATAATGCCAGAGCCCACTATCTCTCCTCTCCCTCTCATCTGCTTCCCTCGTGCTACAGTCCTGCTGCCCCAACAGATATCGGGGAGGAGAAAACCAGCCTGGCATTCAAGATGTTCTGCTGGCTGAGGAACAGTCAGTCAAAAAAATCCCTTCCCTGCTGGGATAAAAGCAGAGACTTGTCTCCTTAGACATGGTGAGGGGGGCTGGCAATGGCCGCACGTGCACTGACCTCTGCGGGTGACTGCTGGCCAGGGGCTCAGTACCTTCTTCTGCCCCTAGTCTATTTACTGATGTGAAAAAAGCCACTTGGGCTGTTGTTTGATAGCTGGGCGGAGCTGCTTGAAGACACAGATTTGAATCTTTGGATTCCCCAAAGGAGAGGCCACATCTCTAGGTGTGTTTTACTCCATCCTCTCTACCTTGGGACAAAAGGGATAGGGGTTTCATGTCTGGGGAAGGTTTAGGGCTCTGGCTTGTGGGCAGATGGAGGTGACTTCTACAGTACTGCACAATAGTTACTGAGCTCAAAATATTGTTATGGGCAAAGATGGAGCACACCTTATATGTGGAGCCCAGAATTTATTGTTAATAACCTAATCAGAATTCATCAAACAGCTATTATTAATCTAATTACAATAACACTAACATTTTAAAATTTTTTTCTCAGCACGGTCTCTTTCCGTAATCTTTTTCTTCAGTGATTCCCAGTTATTCAGTTTTTCTGTTCCTTCTTATCTTTGAAGCTGTCTTTATCTGATTCACAGGATTGCACTCCTGTTACAACGGGTGTTCAGAGTCCGAGACCATATTTGCACTCTACCATATTTTCGTTCTAGACTGTCGTGGTTTCACCCCAGCCAGCAACTAAGCACCACACAGCCACTCGCTCACTCCCCCCCGGTGGGACGGGGGAGAGAATCGTGAAGGGTAAAACTGAGAAAACTCGTGGGTTGAGATAAAGACAGTTTAAGTAAAGCAAAAGCTGCATGCTCAAGCAAAGCAAAACAAGGAATTTATTCACCACTTCCCATCAGCAGGCAGGTGTTCAGCCATCTCCAGGAAAGCAGGGCTCCATCGTGCGTAGCAGTTACTTGGGAAGACAAACGCCATCACTCCAAACGTCCTCGCTTCCTTCTTCTTCCCCTCCCTAAGACTGAATCCTGCAAAACTGGCCTGTAGCTCTGGTGAACCTTTTTTTTTTTTTTTTAATGGAATGAAATTTAGAAATCTCTCAGAGCAACCTGTTTCCCAGAAGTAGTGCTGTTATATATCAACTGTGAAATAACAGATAATGAGCTCCACTGAAGAAATAAGAAATTATGTCCTTGCTACTGCTGAAAACAATAGCATGATAAAACTGCAACAGATGCAGGCTGTTGTGGGGAATACAGCATTGTATGCACTTTTAAGGGTGCATTTCAGAAATTGCGTGGTGATTACAAGCTATTGGAGCAAAATTCACACACATCCTCATTAATAACTCCAGGGCTTACAGTCCATGGTCTGGAATAATAGCTTGCAAAATGTCATTTTTCAAGGCATGCTATGCTTGAATGACAAGAACACGCAAAATTAGCCATGTTAATTTTCTGTTTCAAGACTTGTAAAATATTTACCAGCATGGGCAAACTCCTGTGTGTAATGCCTAGAGAACAGGCCTTTAAAAAGCTGAAATACAAGTAAAAGACATGCTTTGGTGCACACTCTGCTGAATACTTGGGTTGACATTAACATGGAATGAGTGTGTGCGTAACAAGTATATGAAATGTCAGCTCAAATATTGAAAGATAACCTATTAATGAAAAAGTTAGTTAATCTGCTTGAAAATCTCTGACAACAGAGCAAATACTGCTGGCTCCCTTATTGGAAGAGACATAGGGTCACATTTCCCATTTCTAGGGCTCTTCCAGACCCTGTAGGTGGTTGGAAGGTGTGGGTATGTTTTCCAAAAACTGTCTTTGGAGCATTAAATCACTTGGCTTATGACACTGAATCTGTCATGTGCCAGTTGTCATGCCCAGAACTTGTCTCAATTCCACGTGCACCACGTCTGCTACTTCATGGAGCTGGCTATTTTTTGCAGGGCTATAAAACACTCTTTTGCAAGTTACTTGAATTTCTTGGTTGTGACACTTAAATGCAGTCCAAGGATTTAAAACTGTGTGTCACACAGTAGTGTTTTACATACCAGGGTATTAGCGATTGACTTAATTTTTGTAGAGAATAGTCACGAGGCTTATATCTTAGCAGCATCCAAATCAGATGCACAGCTTTCCCACAGGATGTTTTTTGTGATAATGCTAAAAATAGGCATTCACAATAGGACCAATAGTGGAATAACACAATATACCTGAAATCCAGGAAAGATGCCATTTCCCTAAGCAAACACTTAGAATAGGGCAATCACATTTTATGGGAGAAAGCCTATTCTGGAGGATCAGTTCAAAAAGGAGCCAGAGGAGAGTCTTTGTTTCCACCATGAACAGCGTTAATGACTGGTATTTCTGCAGAAAAGAGGGAAATGGAACAAGTGTCTGGGGAGAACGGAGGGGGCATTTCACAGAAGTTGGAAAAATTTGCACTATTAATTCAGAAGATCTGCCCTTGAGGCAAGATGGTTGTACTAATCTGTATCTGACTGGCCGTCTTTGTGCTGAGTTTGCAGATCCTTTGGCAGGGGGACTTAGTCTTTGCATGTACAGCTTCTAGCACAGTAAGCCACAGCGAGATCTCGAGGCCAGAATACAAATGGGAGCAGCAATCAGTGAGGCTGTGACTTTGCCCTCAGTTCTGAGCCTGAGATGCGTTGTGCTCATCTCTGGACCCAAGTCACCTTGCTGTTGTTTTTGCCATCAGGTTTTAACCCCGTGGTCCTCATTGCTGGTGTGACTGGTGTTGGTGTGTAGTGACAAGTGCAGAGGGGTGAGAAGCAGCAGGGACTATCCAGGCTGACTTGAGCCCAATAAATAGATACTTCTAAGACAGAGATGCAGAATGTATGTTTGAGATGGGGGATGAAGGTCTTTTCCTCCTGAGTAATTTCCAGCATTTTAATACATTCCTAGTGAAAGGGCTCAGCTCTCCTTGTGCTTTCTGTGCTGTTCAAGGTTTCTCTGAGTTGATGGCTTGCTGGATATGGAGTGATCCCCAGAGCTCTGCCCATGCCCAAAAGTCTCAGAGAGCAGGAGTAAGCAATATTGGACTATGGCAATTGTCAGTTAGAAGTCTGTTCCCATATGAAGGTGGTTAATCCTTACTTTACCACGTGTTTTGTGGCTAAAACTTTCTGAATTTATTTTTTGCAGTCAGATCTTACAAAGCAACAGAATGGATTCAAAATCACCTTGAAAACATTAGAGGACAACTTGCTCTCTCGGCTGTCATCAGCATCTGGGAACTTCCTGGGAGACACAGCATTGGTGGAGAACTTGGAGATCACTAAACAGACAGCTGCAGAAATTGAAGAGAAGGTACAAAGACAGTGATAGCCTAGAGAAAAGCATGTGTGTGATTTTAACTTCTTTACTCTGTCCATCTCTGTCCCTTCTGCTGAGTAGAGAGTAGAAAGTGGTATAAATTGAAGTGTTCTCCATTCTGGACAGCTTCAGGCCATTTAGCTCTTTGGAGCTTTTGTATGTTAAATGGCCTATTTAAGACCAAGAGAAAACATTAGTGCCTGATGTAAAGACAATAAAATTTACACAGTGTATCAAGGCAGCTTTAAACTGTTCCAGCATAATCCTGAATACATCACACTTCCTCAATTAAGCTGGATTTTAGTATTGACCGGGGACTGGAATTTGTTGAGTTTGCCATCTCGAGTAAATCTGCAAGAACTTGGGTATTTCATATGCTTCCATTCCTTAGAGTATAAATCAGCATCTGTATTAGCTGTACACTATCAGCATTGCCACCTACCTAGTTCACCTTGCTGGCTAGATGGGGTTAGTTAAATGCAGAGTGGTTTTCCCCTGCTACTGAGGGAACTTGAGAAGTGTGGTTGTCATGCCAGGATTGCGATAGGACTCCTGTATGGCCATTCTCAACTGCTTCCCTCCACAGTCCTCCCTTCTTCACAGCCTACACTTGTCCTCTCCAGCCCACTAGCCCATGCTGCCTGGATAAGTGATCCACGTGCTGGGGTCGGGCTGGAACTGCGTCTCACTTCCCAGAGCTGTAGCTCCAACGACCAAGGAACTAAGTGGTCCACATTAAACATTGGAATTATTTCTGCTAGCAGTTTGTGGTACATAAGATGCATTCAACTCCCTAAGGAGGGTTTGGTTGAACCCCCAAAGAGGATGTTGAAGGGATGTTTTGACCTGGCAAGCTTGGCATCTCCCTCTTGAAGTAGGTGTTCTTGAAGTGCTTCGATTTCTAAACAAGTTGTGGTTGTAAAGCTGGTTACTCCCAACTCTGTGGCAATGGGGATGAATTTTGGAGTTTGCACCTGTTTTTTATGAGTTTGGTACCCACATGGAAAGCTGTCTCAGGGCCCCGTTAGATGTCTGCTTCTCAAGTCAACTCTTACTCTATTCTTGGTCTGTCTACCCAAAGAAAAATGTTCAGCCAACATTTTCCTTCCTATGGAAGTCTTCCCTGCTCTGTTTATGGAAAACAACTGTCTTCCCCACCTCCAGCTTTTATTTTACTAGATTTATTAGTCGTTTTGGGGATGGGATATCTAAAAGTTAGTTGCCTAAGACTAAGCTAGACTCTGGGCTCCCTTTATAGTCAGTGGAGAGACATGGGTGCTGCCAGAAGGGGGATTCATCTGACGTAGACAGGTGATTCATGGCCCATGTGGATGCTAGTTTCTGCAGTAGATGTTGAAGCTGCTCTTTGGGCGACTCACATATTACAGTCCATCATTGCTCATGGGGATGTGCAAACCGGCTAATCCCACAAATCCCAACATGTGTTGGTTGCACACAACAGCTTAAGGCTTAGTCTGTGCTTTGCTGAGAAGGTTTGATGTGCCCCAGCCAGATGTACTCACACCAGCTCAGGTGACAGCAGAGGGAGATCCAGTGACGTGCATTTCGGTGGGTATCATGCCCTGCTGGCTTGTACAACGTGTGCTGAGCCCTTTTCTGCCACATCCCCATTGCATGGTTTGCTGAGCTAGCTGAATCAGCACCGGCTCGGCAGCATGTGGCTGTGTTGCAAGACACGTATGACTGTACATAGCCAGAGCCTAAAATAATCCCCGAGAGGCTCGAGGATGTCACTTTATGCTCTGAAGTGGAATGAAAGAATGAACAGGACTGAAGACAGGTGGTGTGTCTGCCAAAAGGATTTTCACCGTGTCCATGACAGCAGCTATGCAGATACCTGGTCAGCAAGGTAGGGGTGCATTAAATGCTGTTGAGGAAAGGCAGCAAATAGCCGTTGTAAATTAGCAGTTCTCAGCCTTGGGGGAAGCTGCCTGTGGGGGAGAGCAACACTGTGTTATTAATGACCCGCACAGGAGGGGGGCAATTAGCAGGAGAAACTCATTGATGAGAAAAACAATTCCAGTTAGTAAAGAGCAGGGATCCTAGTGAGAAGCCTGGAGGGGGCTTGGGAAAACAGAGGATTGGGCAACAGGGTGGTAAATGCAGTTAAATGGAGAATATGCCAGAGGAAGGGGGATGCTGGGAGCGGGCTGCCTGACTGCACCATGGTCCCTGCAGTGGTTGCATGTGGGTTGCCACAGCTTGGCCTGTCGTCTTTGTGGCAGATGTCAACCCTCCCCTGGGCTGCATACTCAATTCACAAACAAGTTCTCACAGTAATTTTGTTCTGTGTTTTCCTCCCAGGTCCAGGAGTCTAAGGTGACAGAAAGCAAGATTAATGAGGCCAGAGAGCACTACAGGCCTGCTGCTGCGCGGGCCTCTCTGCTGTACTTCACCATGAATGACCTCCATGCCATCCATCCCATGTACCAGTTCTCTCTGAAGGTATTGTCCCCATGAGCCGCAGGCCGAGCCCACGGCTGCAGGAGGCAGTGCCGCTGCTTCTCTCTCTTACTGAGGTTCAAAGTTATCGTATTGGGGATATTTGAACTCCCAGACAAAAAGGTGATCTAACCTAAACCATTCTGCTGGTTTTGTTTTACGGAAAAGTTTCCTGTAATTTATTTCTTTATATGTCTACTTAACATACATTACTTTTAACTTGCGTTGCGATAGTGTTTAGGGCTCATTGAGGAACATTTGTCCAAAACTCACGGCAAATGCTGAGCAGAGCGCGTTCATCGCTGCCCTCGCTGGAAGGAGCAGGGTTTCAGCAGCACCTGCAAAGACCCAGTGAAGAGTCGTCTGAATGCCAAAAGAAAATGTCCCTCTGTGTTGAGCACTGAGTGTGGGCCAGGGTCCCTACTCGGCTCTGAATTGGTGGTCAGATTGGGATCAGGTTAGATGAGCCTTAATTAGCTTTTCTTTCTTTTGCTTGGTTTCTTTCTAAGCAGTTGAAGTCTTGTGGAAAGACACAGTCTGACTTAGCGATGCATTAACATCCTTTATTACTAAAAATCCAGGAAGTTTCTTTGCAAAGCCATTTGTTCTTTTTTCCATATTCACAGCCTTGGCCTGGGCAGAACAAGGTGAGCAATGGATTTAAAAGATATCATATGGGGAAAGAGCCAACAAAGTACTTTTTTCTATGTATTTTATATATTTATGCACAGAGATTTTGCACAGCATTTGGAGTCACTTGCTCCATTAGTTAATCTTTTCTTTATATTTATATTGGTTCTGTATCTGTGATGTCATCAGGGTCATAATGCCTGTGCAGATATTTCACAAGTTAACAGGAATTGCCACAGCCCTTAACAATTATCCAAGACCTTGATGTTGAAACGGTCCTGACTTCCCAAATGACACGGTATTAAAACATCGCATCAGTCTTTAAACACAGTCCTGTCCCACTGAGACATCACCAGGGATTTATTGCCACCTTCTATACAAAAGGCAAGTCATTCCTACTTCTGTCTTTACAACACAAGACGGGTCCCCAGCAGCTGGGCTTTCAGGAGCTTGGGTGCTTTCTACATTACAGTTACAAAAGCCTTTCAGGTAGTCAACAGCATGGTGTGAAATCTAACTTTTGTTAGTGTCTGTGTACGGTTGGTGTGAAGGGATAGGTAGTATGTGCATGACTTGAATGTTCACTGCCTTTTGGTATGGGCCTGCATACACGCTTATCTACAGTCTGGAGGAGTCCTCCAGAGGGCTGTGTTTCTGCTCTTCTCACGATGTTGTGTGGCCATCAGACAGACAAGTAAGCCTACTGCCTAAAATGTCCTTAGACTAGAAGTGCAGATGGGATTTATGGGTGTGTTACCACCTTGCAGTGTGGACGCTGGCAGTCTCAGCTACAGGCATGCTCATGATGGCAGTATGAACATTCCAATGGGGACCATGCTGGGAGAGAGACCACTTTTTCCCCTGTGCTCCTAAAATAAATGTAGAAGAGACATAGCCAAAGGGTCTGTGCTCCAAAGGCCTTGCTACTTTTCTGTCCTGTCTAAATAGACTACCCTTCCCTACATAGCAAGTGTAGTTCTGTAGTACATGGACATGTTACATGGAGAACTAGGAATGATGTCCATCCTTTGGAGACATTCCCACCTGGACTTGTTCTCTCCAGAACACCTGGAGAACATTTCCAACATGACAGGTTGATTTCAATGTAATTATTACTACTCATAGTGATGGGGCTGAACAGTCCCACTTTCCATGTGGCAGCAGAGCCCAGCTGGAAACGAGTAGCTTTTGTGGGAATGAGAGCATGGCCATGTTTTCCAAGTTTCTTGACTATCTTTTAGATACCGGTGCTTCTCTTTAAGATGGGTGTGAATAGACTGAGACTCCACTTGCCACAATAGAGGAGCTAGATCTTTAGAATGTAATATATGATCAGTAGTGATTTCATAGTTTCATGTCTTTGCTTCATGTTTGAGCATCACTTAGTCAGTTGTTTTCTGTTCCTTGACTGGTAGGAAGTGGTGTTTCTTTCAAGCCATGTCCTCTACCTTTGAAGCTGCTTAGGCAGGGGTCCCCTCTTTCTGTCCTCTGCATGTGCTGCCCAAGACACTGGGGAAATCTTGGTCTCTGGGCAGCTTCTAAGGACCTGCTGCAGTAAAAATGAAAGTGCAATCCCTTGCCTTGGCAGAGTAATCTCAATAGGTCTGGCCAGTAGAGACCCAAGGACCTTTCAGGGTATTTATAGGCGAGTTCTGGTTTTAATGTTTTAATAAACAGAAGACCTTTTTTTATCACAGGAGAAAGGTACTTTGGGAGATGGAGGGTTAAATGAGATGGCATCCTAGTCTAGAACTTCTTCCAAATGACTTTTTACCTTGACAAGTGACCTGGAAAAAGTAATTGAGAAGAGAATACAGAAAAGAAGCTTTTCTTTTTCATATCTACAACTCATATATTGAAACAATTTTACCAGGAAAATGTACAGAATATGTTTTGTACAAAGATGCCCTTTGAAAGATTCATTCCTTACACATACATAATAGATACAGGAGTTTCTGAGGTTTCACTTTTAATCTACGTCTTCTGTATTTTGTTTGTTTTATGTTGTCCAGTTAACATTAGCATTGTGTATAAATACATAGACAATTATTGGGTGAAATGTTTTTATCTAATAAATTTTGATGACAGATCATAAAACATGGTGTAAAGATGCACAGACATGATTTTAAAATACATATCACACAGCTAGAAGCCCATTATAAATTAGAGCACACAAGATTTATATGTTACTCTGCAGCATGTTTTAACACAATTTAAAGAAATGTGAAGCAGGAAAATGCATTTCGCAATTATTTAATAATGAAGTAGGTATCAATGTTACTTTAATTTCTTGAGACATCATTTTTCCTTTGTAGAACCCTAAAAATAGTGCTGCCAACACAGTCATGCCTTGTCCAGTTGGTGCTATTAATTTGTATTGGCCTGGTTATTTCCTAATAGCTGGGTCCCAGTGTATAGAGCCTTGCATTGCTAATCAGGACTTATGTATTTTTTTTCTTCTTCTTTTTCCATTTGCATTTGATCATTTGCTAATGGGTTTTCTTTGGATGGCTCTGAAAGTTTTTTGTCTTTTCCTTTAGATCAGAAAAGTTATTACAAGAATCCTTAGTATTTTATATAAAAGCATCATTCTCGATGCATGCACCCATCCCCGAGGGGACTTTACTGACTGGTAAATCCCATTTCCACAAGATTAAGTCCTACCTGCCCTTCTCATCTAGTCCTTTGCTGAATCCAGACAGTAAAATACTCATGGGACTTTTTTTTGTATTTAGGGGAATTGCTTTTTTCTAAGTTGAAACATTTGTGAAATAGGAGATATGCTTTCCTCTGGGAACGCCACTATCTTTTGGCTCAGCATTCGCAGAGAAAGTGGACCGTGTAATCCCTATGAAAGAACACATTTGGTCAGAGAAATGTTTCCTGTATCCATTGTGTCTTAATTCAGTCAGCCTGTCTCTGCACTGTCTCAAGCCCAAGAGAGCGCAATGTCACGGGGAATGTCATCATTCCCTGGCTGTATGTTCCTGAAAAAGCAGCTAAAGGCAGATACAGGGTCTGGTCTCTAGATGTGTTCCCCTGCCTCCTGGAGCTGGAGGGCCACACTGCTGGGCAGATGGGAATGCTTTGTTTGTGGCCCCAGAGTTGGCTTCACTTATTGCAACACTTCAGGTGATACCCAGGAGCATGCAAAGAGCATCTAGAAACCACCGGTGTCCTTCTGTGTCTCCTCACCCAGGCATTCAGCATCGTGTTTCAGAAAGCCATTGAGAGGGCACCTCCAGATGAGAGCCTCGCAGTGCGTGTGCTGAACCTCATCGACAGCATTACTTTCTCTGTGTTCCAGTACACAACCCGGGGGCTGTTTGAGTGTGATAAATTGACCTACACCGCTCAAGTTACCTTCCAGGTAAACATCACCATTTCATGTAATTTGTATGCAATGATTTATTTTACAGGCAAAGATATTGGCATGCAGAGAAAGCTCAAACTATCCCAGCTGTGGCCTTCAGCATCAGAGCAGCAAAGGGCTGGGGAACTGATTTTCTTCTCTGCCTCTCTTGCTGATAACAGTCACAGATGCTGTGTTTGATTTGCTTTATGCTGACAAATGATTGTTTGAGAGAGTAATACCTGCTTGCAGGACCTGAAAAAAGGGCAAAGCAAGCTGGTCTTGAAGGCTTATTGGTTTTATCCAAAAGAAATCCTTGCTACATAGCTGTTGTCTTTTGTTCAGTGTATTAGTATAATTTTTAGTCTGCAATGTGAGCAAGGAGACCTTTGTATATCCCTACGCTGAAATCAAATTCAATCAATAAATAGTGCTGGGCATGACGTTGCAAAGTTGTTATTAAGTTTGTGCAGTGAATGACTGTGTAAATGACATGTAGAATGCAGATATGAACCAAGTTTGAACTGCTGAAATGCTGTGCAGGTCTAAGTCAAGTGCCACTTGATCCAGTGATTGCCACGATTTTTTAATTCTGTATAACAAAATACTATGTGTAAAAGGGAAAGTAGGTATATATATGTATACACACATATATATACATATATAAAAAAATGGACTCTAACAATATATTTAGTTAATAAATTGTCTGCGTGTAAAAAGTCAGCTTATATTTTGCAATGTCAGCCTTAATTCTGACCCAAAGGATACCTATATTTGCTAATATATATCTCTAAATAAAGTACTTAATTAGCACACATTGTGCTTGTGACTACACTAAGCATTAAAAATAGTTAATGGGTCACTTTAAGCTGCCAGGAAAACCAGCATCCACAATTTCAGTGTGCGGAGGCAGTTGAGTGATGAGGCACGTGATTCTCCCATATAAAAAAGCAGTTGGCTCTTGAACTGAGTACCTCATTACCATCATTGGTGGAAGAGGTGCCTGGCACACTTCATATGCCATTGCCCAGTGGGCAATAACGAGATACAGTCTAGGATCTGTAACAAGGAAATGACAAACTCGCCACTCCAGCACTGTTCTTTTTCCACTCAGAATTGCTGTGCAGGGTTTTTAAGTTTGTCTCTGAGATTTCAGAAGTCTGGCAGTGCACGTGGAGCAGTGGCTCCAACTGGGCTCATGAGCATGTGTGGCTTTCCAGAATGACCTCGAACATCGCTCTGGCAGTCTTGCTTCATGTACTCCCAAAAGCCACCATTGGTGGTAAAAATATTGATAGTAGCTGAATGGCTCAGGTGCTCTCCGGTGTCTGAGACCTCAGGGACCTGCTTATTCTCTTGGTGCGTGTAACATATTTTTTTTTTTTTCATTTTGTGGGGTTTTTCTTGTTTGTTTGTTTTTCAAAACACTTTCAGTATGTCTCTACTTTCAAAATTGAAAAAGATAGTGAGAGATGGACAAGACCTTGGTAGCATGCCCTAAGGATGCATGCTCTGGTTCCTTTCAAGAAAGTTATCTGTTCTCTAACTGCAGATATCAAGCACAGGGACCTGCAGCACACCCTGCAGCCTGTGTCTCTGCTGGCAGGGACGACTTCTCAGTGTGCTATCTGTGAACCTGGATCACAGCCCTTTCTACACAGTTTTCCCAAACTTTGGTCGTCTTATGTTGCCAATCTCCATACTCGTTCCTGATCCTCTTTTGGGGAGACCCAAAGCACCTACTTGGCATGTTTCATCACACCCCTCCAACATGCGTTCTTTTTAGCCACACTTCGGCAGGCATGTTTCATCACACCCCTCCAACATGCATTCTTTTTAGCCACACTTCAGCGGCTACGTGAGTTGAATAATTAATCTGCTAGAGTATATTGCTGCTCTGTATCCTGGCTGCTCAAGGGTATTTTGGATTTTTTTGAATTACAGATACTTCTGATGAGTAAAGAAATCAACACAGTAGAACTGGATTTTCTACTAAGATACCCAGCACAGACCAGAGTCACAAGCCCTGTGGACTTCCTGTCCAATCATTCCTGGGGAGGAATCAAGGTACCTGTTTCACTCGAACTGTGTGAAATCAGCATCCCTTATCTCCACTAAAAGCCTTTGAGCAGCCTTCAAGTTGGTCCTTATAGCATTTGGTGAACAAAGTTCTGACCGTACATAAGAAGTAGCACAAAAATGCCACAGAAGTGGAGAGTTCTGTAGGTACAAGACTGACTTTGTGGGCTCTTCATGACTGTACCCCTGACGATTTGTGTGTCCCCAAGAAGGTGATTTTTCCCTCTGAACTGACTTTGTGGGCTCTTCATGACTGTACCTCTGATGATTTGTGTGTTCCCAAGAAGGTGATTTTTCCCTCTGAGATTTAGGCTTCTCTGTAAGAGAAGAATGAGAATATCCTCTGGTTTTTGTGTTTAGAGATGGTAAAGGACGAATATCCTCTGGTTTTTGTGTTTAGAGATTGTAAAAGATATGAAGATCTTCACTGTATTTGGGAGGAGGTGGGAATTTAAGGTAGATATGACCGTATGCAGAGATGTGCTGGGGACAGAGTAGTGACAGCTGACAGGCCTTCTGCAAAAAAGTACTGTCATGGCAATGAGAAGGTCTAACAGCTGCCAATGTGTTTGGAGTGAGAGGTGAGGAAGAGCATCCCAAAGAGGTGTGAGTTATGCCATCTTTGCTCCTATTTGTCAACAAAATGTGAATTGTGCTGGATTTGAACCTGATTCAGCAGAGTATGATTTGTTTTCTGGAAGGGGTCAAAATGTTCTTCAAATTAGGCATGCTCATTCACACCTTGTTGGATCTAAGATTGTATCTTTTGTTTTATTGTGGCTTCTGATCAGTCTCTGGCACCTGCTGTGATTTAAGAAACAGTTTTATTTATAGCATGCTGCCCTCATGGGACATTTCTCTGGTGCTATAAAGTAGGGAGTGAAGACATCCTGGTTTCATTGGGATAATTCTCAAATTTTCATCTGGGACATTGGGTTTTGCCTTTCTCTCCCTTCCACCGTGCTGGACAGAGGATGTATCTGGTTCCTGGAGGGTGACCAGGCAAATGTGAATCTTCATCAAGGCCCAAAACACCTCTGATATTCTTTTCCTGTTTGTATTGTTTTGTGGAGCTTTCCAGAGTTTTGCAGGATCCCTGGCTTATGGTGCCACATGCCTTTCTGGGCAAGCACATGCTAGGCTGTGCTTCACTTGGCAAACACTGTCTTTTAAGGTAGCACAGAGTTGGAGCTCTAAGTTGCAGACTGCAGTTCAGAAGTCAAATGAAGCTGATGTTTCTAACCCAGGTCAGTCATAGTGATTTCAAATGCTAGCATGGAACAATTCATGCCAGATGTGTCTGCCCTGACCAGGAGTTATCATCTCCGTCTCTTCACTGATGGTGAGGACGGGGCCTCTGCCTCATTCTGCACACGCACGTCACCTAGCTCGCGTTGAAAATGTCACAATCACATTTTCAGCCACAAAATAAACTTGGAACTTCTCACTAAACCAGTCCTGTTCATCTTCTAAAAGGCATATTTCCATAATAATGGAGGAATTAAAAAAAGCTCTGCATCCTTTCTTTAATCATCTTCTGTTCAGCGGTGGTGTTTTGCTGCTCAGACAGCAGCAGCTTTATTTTTCTTTCTCCTTTGAAGATAAATTAAATGGACACTTAGGGTCAACAGACATAATCAGGAGAACTCAGCCATCAAGCCCATGAAATATATGCTTTGCAACAGCATATTTTGTCTTTGGGCTGTGCATTCTGTATAGATTGTAGATGTACATACATATTATTGCTTGAAATCTCAGGCTTTCTCAACTTTGCTCTGTCCCTACCTACGTTCAGCATGGGGATATATAGGGAGAATGGCGCATTTCAGTTCCTCTGGAGTCCTTCTGTGTGGGAGTTCTTCACTGCTTGGGAATATTCTGCACTGCAAAGCTTCTTTCTACTTCAGTCCTGTAAGTTTCCTCTGGAAGGTGAACTTCCTTCCACCACAGGTTGCAGAAGTTTCGGGCTCTGATTCTCATTTTCGAGATCCTTTTATGTATCTTAGGAAACATTACTCTTGTAGTGCCCAAGGATGCCTTTGCTAGTCCTGCCTGCAGGTGGTACATTCTCCAAGCAGACACCTTCTAAGTTTGCAGTGAGTTTTCTTCTCTGTGAGATGATCCCTTCTGTGCTGGCCCGTTCCAATTCAATGTCGGTGAAATCGCCTTTCGTGTTCCCCATGTGCTTCATCACGATTGCTGCAACTGCATGACTACTGCGATGAAGTTGGTACAGTTGCCAGCTCAGGATCATAAACACCAGAAGGAACATCAACTCCCAGTCATTCATTCTTCAGAGTTTATTCTTGCATCACTATTTGACGTGCCCAGGAGAACAGGCATTTCTGTGCATGGAGTGTCAAAGTGCATAGCAGACTGTGTCAGAGCCTGCTGTGAGACCAGCAGTAAGGAACTTCTACTCATCAGAGTTCAAACAGTGCCAGTGGCATCACTGCAAAAGGTCTTTGGCCCTTTCCCCCAGCTATGTGCCTCAGCTTCGTCCCCACCAGCAGCCTGCACTCCATCACCCCTCAGCCATCCAAAACTGGTGCAGTGTTGGGTATTTATCATGTAGTCATTGTGTGCGTGGAGTAGCTGGAGACTTATCCTGAGGTAGGCAGGAATTGAGGGTGGACTGTCACCTGAAGTTGCTTTGCAATAACTGATTCTCTTTGAGATGAGCCCTTCCCATTCAGCTTCCTCTCTCCCACTGAGTGTCTTGGGGTTTTTGGTTGAGATGGAAACTATGTGATGCCAAGAAGATGCTGCTTTTCACACCCTTTTGCTGAGCTGTGAGATGACAGGATGTAAATGTGTCCAAGTGTGCTGCACGCATCAGGTGTCTTCATCCTCAGCGTGCATCTGCTGTCCCCATAAATTGCACATCTCAAAGAGTTGCAGTCACTGGTCAATAACCTGCGCTAATTTTATGTATTTCAGGATTTTCAGATAGTGAATTCTATATTATCAGATACTGAATACTTTTCAGATTGTCTTTTGTGATGATTGTAGTATTGATTTTACTATAAATAATATGGCTGGTGTCAACTTTATTAGTGTTTATGATCTATTAATGTGTGTTGCTTTATTAGCCTTTGAGTTTTTGGCAACTCCAGTTACTTGAGGCATGGTTTTAGTACAATCACATTTTGTCATAGACTGCTATAATTAGGTTAATTAGTCATGGCTTCTATACAGCTTATTAGCAGGCTAAAATCTCCTTTCTTTCATCAGGGAGATTAAGTGCTGTAATAAATTGTTTCTTCAACAAAGCTTAAGCAAAGTACATTTCAGATTCATATTTCAAATTCGAAGTGGAATTTAGCATTCTGCTAATTTTTCACAGAAACATTGAAAATGCTCCTGCATAAACCTCTTGCCAGGGGTTTCAGGCCAAGATAGTAATGCCAAAAGAAATCAATATTTATATTAGTGGCCCATTCTGTGCCTCCCATTTTTGGCATATTAACTTCAAAGGAGTCCTCATCAAATGTTGAGGACTCTGGGCATGCAAATAGCCTTGTGTGACATGCCTTATTATTTATTATTGTTGTTTGATTAATAAAATATATAGGCTAATAGTCCTTTGCCGTTGTGCAGCTCATGATGCTGGAGCATCTGACACACATTTATGATTTACTTTTCCAGCTTCTTTCAGTAAAAAAGTTCAGCAAAAAGTTTCACAGAGCTTTTTGCTATAATGTGTGTGCCACAGAAGCTCAATATTTACCACGGAATGAAGAAACCCATGTATCTGTTTAGAAGGGCAAGGTTTGTAGAGAAGGGTAATATCTTTTATTAGATCTGCTGATAGATTGGAAAAAATAGGTAAGTTTCAAGCTTTTTAGTGCTTCTTTAAGCCTGAAACAGGAATTGAATTCAAACTATGTACAGGTCAAGAAAAACTGCTCTGAACTTAACTTGATTCTCTTCATCGGTCAGCTTATATGGGAGAAAAAATAGCACCTGTGGAGCCCCTGTGGAGGCACATTAGTTAGCTCTGAACCAAGGGGAAATGTTAGCAAAGGACACAGTCATTAGTCTCAGTGCAAATACTTCCTCTGGATCATTGAAGGGTTAGTTAAGAGCAGGAAGGTGAGAAAATTGTATCATTTAATGAAAGTAGTGCGTTTGCTGAGTCCCTGGCTCTGGTCTTCAACAGAGTTGGTTGTTTCGGTTCTAAGGCCTGTCTTTTGCAGGTACTTAATAATGATCTCTTGAGAAGTCAAAAGTATTCTTTTACTCTTAATGAGATCTTCTGTCTTTTTTCAGTTTCCTTTATTACAGTATGTTATACTTTCCTCACCCTCTATGTTCCCAGTACTTAGCTTGAAAGTTTTCATTTCGGTTGGTACTTCTGAAAAAGTTTTTTGTGTGCATGCAAGGTTTTCCATTTCTTCTGACTCGGCTGTTGATAACTTTACCAATAATGTGTGGACACACCTTAGACCGTGAAGGTACAATGATGCTACTGCTTGAACTGCACAGGACATCAGTCCACAGCCATGTGCAAATGACCATCTTGATATTCTTGTTGCAAGATTGAACTTCACATAGAATCAGTGTAGAGGTTATCCTCTGTAGGGTTTTACCCCCATTTTTTTCTTCTTTCCTTCACTGGAAGGTCTCCAGTGTCATAAGATGAAGGTGTTGATACCTGGATGGGAGATGAGTATTGTCTGAATTGAATTGGGTTTTATGGTTGTTGGGTCTTCCCAACTTCTAGACTATGTCTAGATTAACAAGTAAAATGGCCCAACAGCTGTTTTCTGGCCCTGGCAGCACATGACATGGCACAGTGTGAATCCATACAGCAAAACTCCCCTAGCCTTCCAAACCAGAGAGACCTTATATATTGTTTACTGTGGACAGTCCCTGGAGTGTTTTACCCCCTGGGCTGTGTTCAGGCATTTTCTGGAGCAAACGAGTTGGCCAAAGTCAAATGTGAGCCAGCAACTTACTAGCAACCTGTGTGGCTCATGGTGAGC